CACCATACATGTGCAGTATCAGTGGAAGGCAGAACAATGTGTCAGATCCCCTGGAACTGGAGTTACACTGGGTGGTTATCTGCCATGTAGGTGCTGGGACTAGAGCCCAGATCCTCTGCAAGAGCAGCCAGTGCTCTTAATCATTGAGCTGCCTCTCCAGCCCCTTTTCTTTCTTTCTTTCCTTCTTTTTCTTCCTCTCTTTCTTTTCTAAAGTTACCCCATTGACTAAAATTTATGCTGTCCACATTGTCCTGGATGTGCGTCCATCCACTGGAAAGTGGGTCAACCTACTGGGAGCCAAACCCTTAAAGAAAACTGACTCTCCCTGTCCAAGAAGTCATGGACTGTCCACAGCTCCTCAGTTAGGGGTGGGGCTCACAAAACCCTTCCCATTCCATGTTGGAATGTTGACTGGCTTGATCTTGTGCAGGCCTTATGTAGGTAGCCACGGTGCTGTGAATTCATGAGCACAGCTGTCCTGTCATGCCCAGGAAACACTACAGAAAGAGGATTTTAAAAATATAACAGAGGGCCAGAATGGTGGCACAGGCCTTTGATCCCAGCACTCAGGAGGCAGAAGCAGGTGAATCTCTGCAAGATCAAGGCCAACCTGGTGTACATAGTGAGTTCCAGGCTAGCTGGGGCTGCAGGGAGACTCTGTCTCAAAAAGACAAAAAATGATAATAAAATAATAAAAATAAATCAATAAACATTTTAAATGATACTAATAACACATGTAGTAATTACAGCCTATAGATAATTGACAGGAATTACATGGTCAGAAAGGATGGAAGGAGAAATGTTCAAACTGCTTTTAAGGAACCTGTACCAGATATGAAGCAAGAATAATTATTTGAAGGTGGATCTAGTTTGGCTTTTGAAACGCACTGCAAGTTGGGCATGGTGGCCCACGCCTTTAATCTCATTACTTAGGAGGCAGAAGCAGGTGACTCTATGAGATTGAGGTCAGCCTGGTCTGCATAATGAGTTCCAGGCCAGCTGGGGCTATATAGTGAGACCTTGTCTCAAAAAACAAAACACAAAAAAATAAAAATAACAACAAAAACCAGTCCAGGACATTTGTTTTTCTTTTCTTTCTTTCTCTTTCTTTCTTTTTTTTCTTTCTTCCTTTCTTTCTTTCTTTCTTTCTGAGATAGTAAGACAGTGTTTTACTTTGTAGCCCAAGCTGCCTTGAACTCAAGATCCTCCTGCCTCTGCCTCCCAAGTACTGAGATTACAGGTGTGCACCACCACACCCAACTTTCAAATTCTTTAAGAGTATTTTTTTAATTTTTAAAAAATGTATTCTTATTTTATGTGTACAAATGATTTATCTGCATGTCTATAAGTGCACACATGTTGTGCAATGCCCATGGATCCTCTGGAACTGGAGGTAAGAATGGTTGTTAGCTGCTATGTGGGTGCTGGGAACCAAGTGCAGGTCCTCTGCAAGAGCAACCAGTGCTCTTAACTGTTGAGTCTTCTCTCTGGCCCCTTTAAAGATTGTTTTTAATGATATTCTGAGATGAGACAAAATGGACGTATATAAATTATAAAGGCAGCAGCACCTGGTAACAGGTACCACACAGCTACAGCACAGGGGATGTTAATCCAAGCAAATTAACAATCACTTTAAATATAAATATAAAGTAGCACCGAAATAACACAGATTGTGAAAGGGATTATATAAATAGTATATTTACTATTTTTACTTTATATGTATGAGTGTATTGCTTGCATATATGTAAGTGCACCCATGTCGTGCAATGTCCATGGAGACCAGAAGAAGGCACAGGATCCTCTGGAACTGGAGTTATGGATGGTTGTTAGCTGCCATGTAGATGCTGGGAACTAAACTCAGGCCCTCTACAAGAACAGCCAGTGCTAACTGCTTCACCATCTCTCCAATCCCATCAGGGGAATATTTGTTTAAATTTTTACAAAAACTTTATTGAGAATTTCATACATGCATATAAGGTGTTTTGATTAAATCCATGCCCACTCCCACATCAGGGGAATTTTTTTTTTGAAAGGACCCAATTATATGCTGCCTATGAGAAACTCAGTTTAAATACAGAGACTCCAAAGGTTTCAGATAAAGGAAAAGAGAAAATGGTATACCATGGTGGCATTGTCCAAAAGAAAGCGGGGTGGGGGGTGGATGGAGAACATATGTCATATCGTATGTCAGGTGACAACTTTGGGGGGTCAGTTCTCTCTTTCCGCCTTGTCAAGGCAGGGTCTCTCTTGCTGTTTCTGCCATGCTGCATACTCTGGGCAATTTTCTTATCTCCACTTCCCATCTTGCTGTAGGAGTGCTGAGATTACAGATGTGTGCCATCACATCCAGCTTTCCCCCCAGGGATTAAACTCAGGTCATCAGGCTTGCATGGTAAGTGCTTATACCAGCTGAGCCATCTCACCAGCCCAGCTTCTTTCATTTTCATTTATTTCATCTATTCAACAGTACACATTCTGACTACTTCTTGGCTAATGCCTGTTCATGCTCAGTCCATATGTAGCAGTTAAAAACTTTAATGCAGGACCGTAACAGCATGACCAAAGTTAATCATTGAAAAACAATCTATAGGAAAAATGTAATACTCATGGCAAAGAATGAATACTCATAATAAGTAAAGGGGTTTTAGAAATCGGTAAAAGAAAACGTGAGCACATTTATTCTTCACTCTTAATCCATGCTGTAGGAGTCAGAGTTGCATCTTTAAGACTCAGACTGGACCATAACACTCCACAGCAAGTCCTACAAAGGCTTCACCTTGCTCTTAGGATAAGGGCTGGAGCACTTAGCATGGCCCATGTAAACTGGCTATCATCAGCCTCTCCACACCTGTCCCCTTCTCTCTTCTGTTTCCGGACTCCAGTCAGACTAGTCTATTTTGGAGTGGTCCTTCATTTACTCTTCATTATTTTTTAAATATTTTATTTATTAACTTTGTTTTCTGTGTATGAGTATATTGCCTGCATGTATGTAAGTGCATCCATATCCTGAAATGCCCTCAGAGGTCAGAAGAGGGCATCAGATCCCCTAGAACTGGAGTTATAGATAGTTGTTAGCCACCATGTGGGTGCTGGGAATTGAACTCTGGTCCTCTGCAAGAGTAGCCAGTGCTCTTAACCACTGAGCCATCTCTCCAGCCCCTCATTTACTCTTTAAAGTAAGGTTCATACACATCATCAAGTGTTAATTATTTCCATATACACTGTCTCATTTACTCTAAAATTTTTCAAAATATTTTATTATTTTCATTTATATGTATGAGTATATTGCCTGCACGTATGTAAGTGCACCTGTGTTATGCAATGCCTGTGGAGGTCAGAACAGGGCATTGGATCCCCTGGAACTAGACTGTTGTTAGCTGCCATGCGGATGCTGGGAATCAGACCAAGAGCAGCCAGTGCTCTTAACCACTGAGCCATCTCTCCAGCCCTGCCTATTCAAGTTTTGAATCCAAAACTGGATTAAAACTTTAATTAGGTCTGAGTACCCTGGAGTCACTCTCACAGACACACCCAGAGATGTGTTCTGATCTGATTGCTCATCCAGACAACCTGGCAGCCAAGATTAACCATCACACTGGAAGCCACAGTCTCAGCCCTTCATTCCCACGATGGCCAGCCTCTTCCTTTAAAAAAAATTTTTTTATTTATTTTTATGTGTATGAGTGTATTGCTTGCATGTGTGTAAGTGTACCCATGTCACACAATGCCCACAGAGGTCATAAGAGGGCATCAGATCTCCTGGAACTGGAGTTAGGGATGGTTCTTAGCTGCCATGTGGGTGCTGAGAATCAAACCCCAGTCCTCTGCAAGAGCAGCTAGTGCTCTTAACTGCTGAGCCATCTCTCCAGCCCCTGACCAGTCTGTTCTAATTGTGGGTAATGGTAAAATTCTATCAAATGTCTTAGCAGAGAACTTCTGTTATGTTTAGAGACAGTAGCCAGAGCTCCATCTCCTTATCCCTTGCCTGGAAGGTATAATACATTTGTTGAGCTATGAGTATATGCCAGAGACTGTTCCAGGCTCTGCATATGAATTAACCTATTAAATCTTCCGAACAGGGACTGCAGAGCTGGCTCAGTAGTTAAGAGGACTTGCTGCTCTTTCAGAAGACCTGAGTTCAATTCCTAGCACCCATGTGCAGCAGCTCACTGTCACCTGTAACTGCAGCTCCAGGGAATCCAACACCCTCCTCTAGTCTCTGTCGGCACCTCCACACGTGTTCAAACACACATAGACAGGTGCACAACATAAATAAAAATTAATCTTTTTTTAAATCTTCAGAACAGAGCTGAGTACCTTTAATCCCAGAGCTCAGGAAACAGAGGCAAGTGGATTTCTGTGAGACCAAGGCCAGCCTGATCTACATAGCAAGTTCCAGGTCAAATGAAGCTATAAGGAAACCCTGTCTCAAAACGTCAAATGAAGCTATAAGGAAACCCTGTCTCAAAACCAACAAACAAACAACAACAAAAATAAATAAATAAATCAGAACTACACCATGAGGTAAATACTGTAATAATGTT